AGGATGAAGAAGAAGAATTTTAATTCAAACAATTTGTTGTTATTTATAAAATCTTATATATTGGATGGTAAATCAATGTGATTTTGTTTGTAACAGTACATTTTCATCACCTTTAACTATTCATTCTAGCAAATTTAATAAAATAGAAAAATGTCACCAGGAAACAAGGTCGATCATGAAGAAATTTTATCCAATTTACAATCAGAATGTGATATGTAAAGATAAAAAAAACAAGAAGCCGTCGTTTATAAAAAAAATTGAAACGTGTTGAAATTATACAAATTTGTAGAGGAAATTGTAATTATTATTGGAAATGTTTAAAAATAAAAATAAAAAGTCAATTGTAAAACAGTGTTTTTCTTTTGTTTTTGCTATATATATATATATGTTTATAATATATTTTTTTTTCACTAAACTAATTTTTTTTTAGATCAAATTAAAAGAAAATGTCCAACATGATGTAAACTTGTTGTTTTTTCAACAAAGAAACTACCATTCCAGATTTATTAAAGCATCAAATAAATTGTAGTGAAAAGATGTTTTTTCAACAAGTAAAAGATAAAACTTTAATCAAAATCAAAGACAACGAAATGAAAGAAGTTTTTTCTGAATGTGACATCCTTATCGTAAACTCATTTTACCCAAAACAATGCTTTGCACTTTGTAAAAGATTCTTTTAGTACTAAAGTCTCTTTTAACGAACATAATGCAAAATGTTCTAAAAGGATAGAATCGCTTGTTAAGCAAAATGATGAAATTAGAAATTCAAATGTTGCCTACAAAAATCGAAGATTTAAAACTGATACAAGAGAGTTTAGATTAATTAAACGTTGCAGTTAACTTGGATATAAATGGTAACGTTAACAAGAAAATTTAAAACTTGGTAACAAAAGTTCAAGTTGTGCAAACCATTGTTAATCAACCAGATGTTGTATTTTCAAGCTACCGCAATCGTTTCAAAACCTTTGATAACATTTAATATAAAAATTTAGAAGTTATAATCAAAAAAAAGAAAATGAATCAATAGTACGATGTTCCAAGGCGAAACACACTTTGTATATGTTTAGACGAAATGAATCATCGTTTGCAATCAAACGAACCCTATATTAGTCAACTATGTTACACTGAAGATGGTTATTTGTTTCGTGTAAATATATTAGAATAACAAAAAGCTGAAATGCTCGCTATATATGTTCAAATTTTGAAACCTCCGCACGATCATATGTTAGCATGGCCCATAAAAAAAAATGTTCATTTATTGATTAATAATAATCAGTACGAAATTCTAATAAGTTTCCAACAACACGACATGTTGATGGTTTTGATAAACCCATTTATGATGCAAATATAACATGCGGTTACAACATCTATGCTACTAACGCGCAATTAAAAAATTTTATTATTAAAGAAAAACTTTATATTTAAGTTTATTTTACATAAGGTTTTTTTTTAATTATTAAAAAGAGAAAATGATAAACTTGCAACTTTTTTTTATCAAAAAACTTTTGTTTAAAAAAACTGTGTTTTTAGTTACAAACTTTTTTTTTTTAAATTTTTGTTTTTTTAGATTTATATTAAATGAAAAAATATGGAAGATTTGATCATGTTATCAAACGAACTGACCTCAGACAACGTTAGATCGTTGAAATTTTGCTTAGAAATTCCAAGTGATTGCTCTGAAAAAATTAAAGAAGGTATGGAGCTCATTAATTATATCCGTCTCTATAAGCTTAAAATTCAAGGGCATGAATATACAACTATGGAAGGTAAATTGCGTTATTTAATAAATTATTTACCGCATATTGAAGAAGTGACTTGCATACCAAATACCAAAATTTGCAATACGATGACAAAAACTGTCGTTTTTGAAAAGTTTGTTAGAAACTGGTAAATTATATGTATCTCCTTCAGTTATTAGTTATAGACGAAATCACTCTACTTTACCCTAAGCTCCTCCAACTTATAAAAAAGCGTGTCAACTGACGCAAGGAAAATATCAAAAAAAACATTTTTTATTTGTATTTTTATTTTATAATAAATATATTTATACAACAGCTATATTATTTATTTTTTCTTAACAATCTTTTTTATCTTTATTCAAATAAAGCGGAGTCTACAATAAAAACAAGATATCTTGATTTCTTTATTATATCTTTAATAGTTTTTTCACAAGTCAATAGTTTTTGTTCAAAATAATTGGCAATAATAAAGTTTGTAAAACTTGTATCGCTTCCCAAAAAAAACACTGTTCATTTTATTTTATTTTATTTGGAACTTCGAATTGTCTATATGCTAAATCGCCAATTTAACGAAAAATTTCTTTTAAAAATCGCACATTTTTGTAAATATAAACATTTTCTTGCGCTGAATCATTCGAATAACTTTTTTTTAAGTTTTCTAGATTTAATCTCTTCTTATCTTTTGTAATGCTATCCAATATATAACTATTGTAAGACTTGCATTCTATACGTTCTTTTAACTGTTCGCCGTATTCAGCTAAATAATCAATATATCTATTAAACTCTTTTGTCGAACTCATTTTTTAAAATAAAATAAATCAAAAAAAGTGTGTTTTTTTCAATATATCTTTAATTTATAAGAACTCTATATAATACATTTTTTAAAATATATAAAAATAATATCTACATTAAAAAAAGAAAAAAATCTAATAACCTATGCATTTTTTTAAATCGTGAAATCGCATAGGTTGATACAATCAATGTCGCTGTTTTTCTTGTATGAGATGTCGCATTCGACCTTTTAAAACTTGTAAAGTATCAAATAAGCCTGAGAGCAGCCTGTGCACTGTCCCTGCATCCCACAGCGAATATGACAACAAACTACTAGCGGGCGCAAAGGGAAAAAGCACAAGCAGCAGCCCTTACACATACTTTAAACTGATGGTACTATAAAAAAATTTATTATTTTGCTATAAAATATAAAGTTACTAAATAAATAATTAATATAAGAAAATAAATACAAATCAAAAAATTACAATTGTTCGGTAAACGAAACATTGCTTGAGCAACACTGTCATCTTCATCATCATCATCTTGCGGTAGTTGTGGAACAAGTTGAGGTGGAGGAAAATTTGGTGAAATAGGTAGAAGAAGAGGAGGAGAAAAATTTGGAGGTTGTGGTCTAACTCGACTAGCGGTAAAATATATTTCTTCGTCATCAAGAAAATGATAAGGTTCACAATCTAAAATAAATTTTTTGATTCTTAAAAAAAAAAAGAAACATTTAAAATAAAAACTTACTGTACAAAAACAAAATAAAACAAGATAAATATAATTACAGCAACAGGCTTGTTGTTGTTGATCTTTTTTTCTTTATTACTTTAATACCTTTTTTTCAAAAATCTTGTTAACTTTTTTCTCTTGTGCGATTAATTATAATAAAAAGAGAAAATTACGTGCATTAACTTTAAATAAAAAGATTAAATTTACGCGTATTAACTTTAACGAAAAAGATTGTTAAAATAAAAAAAACTGCATAAAATTTTGATATTAAATAATACTAAATACACAGTTCAAATTTATCTAAGCAAGAAAAATAGGTTTTATAAAGACATCCAAGTTCTTAAAAAAAGGTTAACCATTAATTATTAAGTTGTTGAAGTATTAAAGGAGGAGTTTATTGTAAATCCTGCTTAACATTTTTTTATTTAACATCAATGATGTTTCTGATATAATTTTAAACATGTGATAAATCAAAAATTAAAATAAAGTGTAAAAAGTGTAGGAAAGTTAATTCTTATCTTAGACAACAAGTGAGATTACTTAAGTACTAGCAGTAAGCAACCCGTAATACGGGTTAGCAGTAGATAAATCATTACTAAAAATTTGATATTTATTTACTTTATCTAATAAAATATAAATTTATTTATACAGTAAGCAACCCGTAATACGGGTTAGTAGTAAATAAAAAATTACTAATAATTTGCTTTCTCTAATGAAATATAAATTTATTTATACATTTTTTTAGTTGAGCTCATTTTTATTTTTCTTGGCTTCTTAGTTTAAGAAAACTTTTAGCTTCATTAAAGATAAAGTTAACCATTTCTTTTGCAATGTTCAGACATTGAATGCGCAAATCACAACCATGTAGTAATTAAAAATGACTTGAATTATATGCACAGAACATTGATGTCAAATTTTTAAATTCTGTAAAATTGTTTAGGTAAATATTGGGAATATATTCTACTCTCAATTTTGCTTTAAACTGAGTCGTTTCTTTTTTTTAAAACTTTTTATTTTACTGAGGGTAGAGCTTAAAAATATGTCACTATCGCACCTAAACTTTTAAGTGTTATTAATGTACTCTTTTAATTTTTAAAACATCTAAAATATTACACCAAAACTTGTAGGCATAGAAGTTCAATATCCGGAAAAACTATAAGTTGAAAAATATATCGCATTTCCGAAAAAGGCTTAGCCCTGCATACGGACCCTATATTATTATGATAAAGATTTTTATTAAAACAACCTTTTTTTAATTAGTAATCCAGCAGAAACTTGCTTATAAAAAAATAATAAAGGAATATATGGATTTACTTTAATAGCTAACGTGTATCAACATATTTATTTCAGCATACATCCAATCCATATTTATACTAATTTTATAAAATGTCCGGAATACATTTTGCCTTAACTTGGCGTTAAATTATTATTTTTATTTCATCAATGTTTGTATAGATCAGGTTAATTTTGTATAGATCAGGTTTTTGTATAGATCAGGTTAATAATAAAAGCAATTGGATTTTACTCAATATTTTTGAAGTAATTATTCAGCTTTAATAAAACTGATAAAATCATATCAGACAGTTAAAAAATATATTTAAAGCTTTGTTCACTTTTTGAAAATCCGTAAAAAAGCAAGTATCACGTTTACATATCTTTAAAAGAAATTTATTTACATGATATATAGTTAAATATGTAACAAAAATATTTTTAAAAAGAAGCATATATAAAACACATTTTTCTTAAAAAAATTAAGTTCAAGCCACCATTTACAGCACCGAGGAGCCAAGCATAGCCTATTGTAAAGAAAACCATATCAAATAATTTAAAATATTTATTACCGATAGGGACGACAATTAAACATATTTAGAAAGCTACGTGATTCCATATTAGTAGGATTGTTATAGAAAAGTATACTAAAAAAGTATATTAAAAAAAAATGTATTAAATAGAAAACAGATTTTTAAAAACTACCTAGTTTTGTTAGCATTTTGCCAATGGTGTTCAATTTTGAAACCAATATCTTGAATTGGAAAGCCGACTTGTTTAACTCATTCAAAGAATAAAATTATTGACACTTAAAGAAAAAGAAAAAATGAATGAGATATAAACAATCGTACTATAGTATTATATAGATAAGTAGATATATATGAAAAAAAAAACAACAACTGGAAAACAGTATACCTGCTTTTGGTAACCTATTGTGATACTGCAGCAGTTGCTGTAGGGATGCAGCTGTTCTTTTTGGTGTTCTTTAAAAACGTAATTTTTATGTTAGCTTTTAGTAAATTTAAAAGACATCACAACGGATTTAAAATACTCATAATAAAAAAAGCAAAATATAAAATGCTTCAAGGGAACTATAAACATAAAAGATGAAGAACTATAAACATAAAAGATGAAGAATGGAATCGAGATAAATAAATTGTATTTATATAGCTAAATATATTGCCTTGGGTTTTGGTAAATTTTAAAAGCAGTGAGTTCAATAAATGAAACATACCAAATAACTGTTTTTAACAAAAGAATGCAGCATCATTATATTATGATAATTAGATAATGAATCAATTCAACTTTCGACTTTAGATTTTAGGGAGGGGTATTTAAGAGGGCTTTAAATTTGAAGTCAGGTTTAATTGGTGAGAAAACAATTAAAATTTTCATTAAAAAAGATCAAAACAAATCAAATATACAACGTAATATATATTTAAAAAAAAAATTACAAAATTAAAAGAAAAAACACCGAAACAAAAAATTACAAAATAAATAAAAAAAAAAACACCGAAGAAAAAGCAGCAACTAAAAAGTCATAAATATCTTTACTGATAGAAGACATTTACAACCTTTTGGTTGCTGTTTTTTCTTCGGTGTCTCCCAACACCCCGGTATGGATGAGCCCTCCAGTTAAAGGAGGGCTTATCCATTCCGCCATGATCTTTCCATTTTTTGAAGGACCTCTCTGAGAGAGGTTCCGGGTGTTGGGAGCGGTAATTTTTGTATTCTTCGAATGATAAGGAATATAAAGTTACAAATAGAAGAATATAATAAAAATTATACATTTACAATTATTTAAAAAAAAAATAGCATAAACTCACCATTTTCATTTGAAACAAAAGATGCTAAAAAAAAGAAAGAGAGCAAATTAAAAAAGGTTAAACATGCAACATTTTGTATTTTAATAAATATATACGGCAAAAATGCAACCAGTTCAAAAGCTTCATATTTATTAATTAATTTTTTCACCTATTGCACATATTTCTCCATACAAAACATATAAAATATAAAACACAGCCCTACCAGCTATACTTCCACCAGACACTAAAGACAAATATATAATTAAATAAATATAAAATAATCGATAAAATAATGTTAACATATAAATATATACATATCTAAATAATTGTTTTACCCATCCCCCTCTTTTCATCCATAAAGTTGTCTAAGAAAAAAATAACTAAAGCTAAAAACAAAACTATAAACTAAACCAAAACTATAAACTAAAGTAAACTTTAAATCTTCTAAATATTAATGCTTTATTTATTAAACTAATCATAATTTATACTTAGTTTTTGTTCCAACTTCCAAAAAAAGATAGTATAAAATAAAGCTAAAGAACTTCATTTTTAAAAACTCCAGTGGCAGTACAAATAAACAAACTCCAATTAACAAATATCTAATAGCAAAAACACTGACTTATTTCCTTCTTCACTTCTGTATTGAAACAATAAAAGCACTTTAATGTTTAGATGTTAAAATATCGATAAAATACATTTTAAATGCCACCTTTAACTAATGTAATTAATACCTTTATTAGATCTCTCTTGATTAACTTAAGAATTTAAATTTTAAATAAACTCTAACTAAATTTTAACAAGCAAACAACCAAAACAAATCTTCATATTAATAGTACGTTATTAAGTTAATTAATAGATCAAACAATTTAATCTACTCTAATAATCTACTACCTTATTAATAAACTTTAATTTTTTTCTACGACTCAGTGTAACTATAATATAGATATTTTTAAAGTACAAAAGAATTTAATATTATAATATATATGATTTTAAAAACCTGAAATTTTAAATCTACCTCGAAGAAAACAGATATATATTGAAAAGTATTTATATTTCTTTTTAAAAATTTAAAAATGCTTAATAACTTACTTGTTTCGATATTATCACCAACGTCTAAATAGAAAAACAAACAAACATTCAAGTCGACTCATTCTTAAATCTTATAATATATATGATTTAAAAAACCTGAAATTTTAAATCTACCTCGAAGAACAGATATATAATAAAAATCATTTTTATTTTTTTTTTAAAAATTTAAAAATGCTTTATAACTTACTTGTTTCATATTATTACCAACGTCTAAATAGAAAAACAAAGATATATGAGTTATATATATGATTTTAAAATATATATGATTTTAAAAACCTGAAACTTTAAATCTACCTCAAAGAAAACAGATATATATTGAAAAGTATTTTTATTCTTTTTAAAAATTTAAAAATGCTTTTTAACTTACTTGCTTCAATATTGTCATCATCTAAATATAAAAACAAACATTTAAGTCCACTCATTCTTAAATCTAGTTTAATTTCTTCAATAACAAAAATCCGTTTAAGTTCGTTTAAACCATTTTAACATTGTAAAGTTATTTTAAAGTTTTAAAAAACTGAAACTTTAATTCTACCTCAAAGAAAACAGATATATATTGAAAAGTATTTTTGTTTCTTTTTAAAAATTTAAAAATGCTTCTAAACTTACTCCCTCCAATATAATTATATAATATATATAGTATATATGACAAATAAACCTCCACAATTTCCTTGGTTTCACAACTCGATTATGATTAATAACAACTCTGTAAACATGAATTTTCTAATAACCTAAATAAATTACAGATAGACAAACATAAACTAACACAATTAAATCCTAAACCAAAATTCATTCATGCAAGACAAAATATTTTATATTTATTGAAGAGCCAGAAACATATTATTTTTTCAAAGAGCAAAAGTATTAACAATATTAAAGATAAATTTTATTTATAACAAAATTTTCAATAAAAATTAAATTAAGATAAATTTATAACAAAATGTTGTCATGGCTTTTATCCCAATAACCAAAACTAGTGAAAGCATGAAACTACCCATAAATATATTTTAAAGCTAGACATAATTTAAGAATTATAGTAATCTATAACACGAAGCTTTAAATTTAAAATTACAATTTAAAAAAGATTACAATAAATTAATTACTTTTAAATTTAAAAAAAAATTTAGATTACCTATAATTTTAAGCTACTAAACATTATCTACTTAATGTCAACTTGGACATTTTGAACTCGTACCATGAAAGGTTAAAGGGAAATCTGTAAGTAAGCACGCGGTAAAGAAAAGTCTAGAAACTACTTAAAAAGTGTATTTTACAGATACAGAACCGTACCGTAACTATAAAACAATACGCGTAACTATGCACATTAACAATAATAGGCTATTCATTATAGGCGGATAAAGGTTTTTTTAAAAAAAATAATAACTTTAAAAATAAGTACAAAAATTAGCTCTATCAGCGAATTCTATCAGCAAACTTTGTAGTTGAAACAAATTAGTAGGAATTAAGTAAACTGCATAGCATCCAACAAAAATTTGAAACAATGAAGCTAAGGAAACTAACAATAAGTAAAAACGCCGAAATTTCTCGATTGCAGTTGTTAGTTAATGAGATAATAATAAAGCTAGATTTAGCTCGGTTCTCCTTTAGAAATATAAACAATAAAAACCACGGAGTTTAGGCACATTTATTATTATATATATATAGTTGTTTATAGGTTTGTACGGAAAACTAACTACAAGAAATTGGATCACCCAATTTTATAAAAACCAGGATAATCATATATGTATATATATATATATATATATATATATATATATATATATATATATATATATACATATATATATATATATATATATATATATATATATATATATATATATATATATATATATATATATATATATGTATACATACATACATATATATATATATGTATGTATATATATGTATGTATATATATATATATATATATATATATATATATATATATATATATATATATATATATATATATATATATATATATATATATATATATATATATATATATATATATGTATACATACATACATATATATATGTATGTATGTATATATATATATATATATATATATATATATATATATATATATATATATATATATATATATATATATATATATATATATATATAAAGAAACAGTAAAATACATGCAATAGAAAAATGATACACGCTATTACTTACCTTTAGGACAACGAACGAAAATTCACTCCACCAATTGAGAAAAGAGCAATTGGTCCATTCAGCATGAGAACCCTTTTTCCACCGGGCGAAAACTTCAGACATGACAGAGACTTTAAACGATGGGTGGACAGCGAAAAGGTAAGAATGCTAACAGCTCTGACTGACAAATTGATAACAAACATATCTGACCACGTACTGACAAATGAAGAAAAGGAAGCACTTGGAAAAGGACTGAAATTTATACCCAACTCACAGAAAGTAGGAAGAGAAGTATACGAGGCTAGTGTGGAGAAATTCAAAAGAAAACTACGACTCAAGATGTTCTTCAAGGATAGAAAGGAGCAGAAGAGATCCGTATTCTACAAGAAATCCAGCTGGATACCTCCAGAAACAGAGAATGAAAACATACTCGAATACTTTGGCAAGATAGACAGAGATCTAGAAGAGATGTGGAACAGAGAGATACCGAGAAATAAAAAAACAACTCGAAACCAGAGGTATGGCGAGCACTGAAAAACCTACAAAACAACCGAGACATTATTATCAAAAAAACTGACAAAAGGGGAGGGCTCTGCATCATGAACAAAACAACATACGAAGAGAAAGTGAATGAACTACTAATGAACAGAACAGTATACAGAGAGCTCCAGACTGACCAAACGAATAAGATTGTGAGAGGAATTACTGACATGTCAAACTTCATGCTTAAACTTCATAAAATTAACGAACAGACTGTAGAGTTCCTTCTTCCCAATTTCCGAACCGCATTACTTTCTACAGGAGATTCATCGACGACGTATTCTTCATTTTTCAAGGACCCATAGAAGTGTTAGATCAGATCTGCAACTACATGAACACCATCCATCCAACAATCA